ACATGCTTTTCTGCCTCAGACTAAACCTCTTGGAATTTCCAAAAGCTTTAGACTTATGGCGCACTTGGTTCATCTGTCCAAATGCAAAGTAGACATTCATATAATGAAGTACTCATCACCTCTTCTAGTCTGAACACTAATTGGTCCACATACATTAGTATGTACCAGTTCCGGTTGAATAGTTGCGCAAACCTTTTTGGCCCTTGTAGGATTGCTTGGCCACTTTACCTTCCAAAAAATCATAAGAAGTATAACCTATATCACTTTCCAATATATAGAATTGTAATTTTGTCACTATATATGTTGCAAATGGCTACTAGAAAATTCTACACAATGTCAAACGAAGAACCAGAATTTGCAATTATCAATGTTCTTATAATCACCCGATAGAAATATGTATGATTGAAGAGATGAAGAATAATAATCCTAAAGTTACGTTTAAGAAAGAAGGAAACATAATTTATAGTAAATGATTTATGTTGCTATTGTTAGAAATTTTTATACTAATTGTGGGTTTCAATAAATTGTAATTTTTCTTGTTTTAATAAAAACGGGCTAAGTCATGATCCATATAAGGGTGCAGTATAAAGCCCAGTTAATTAGTGATTCTTTTAATTTGGGTTTAGATATGTAAACTGATTAGTGTGGGTAATAGTGTAGGCCTAATCCATAGGCTCATGATGAGAAGGGGACTAGGGTTAATAAGTTTGGCTAGGTCCCCTCTGCATTCACAACGTGTTAAAAAATTGTTACTCCACAACTTGCCCCATCGACGATTGTGATCAGGGAGTGGTGTGAATTGCAGAGGAAGATCTGGTCTTTCTATTGCAGAAGCATAGAGGAAACAAGAAGTCTTCAAGCAATCAAGAATCATGTCTTCAATAAATAAGCCTAAATCTTTTGATATTCTAATATTATATAATCTCATCTTGAAATTTCTTATGACTATCAAATAGCATAACTTTTTTCAAAAGGGTGTTAAACTATACTGCAATTTAAACTCAAATATAACTCTTTTAACAAGTAATTATTTATTGATTTATATACTCATTATAATATATATATTATACTATACGCCCATATATATAAACAGCATCATCCTGAACTAAAGGAAGGTTTGAAATAGGTCACATGACCTCTTGGAAGTCTACAATTGACTCACATTAACTATGATCTGGCCTATACAGGATTCCAATCGTCACCGCAATTGGGTTATTTCTCGGGTTGAATCATATTGTTTGCTGTGGGTTGAAGCGGTGCAACACTTTAATCTAGGAATTTTGTGCATGATTGTGTTTTGATGATTTGGAATCGGCTTTTTGATCATTGTATTTTTAACTTTACCTACGTTCTTAAATTATTTCAAAAATATGACATTTTCTCTAAATATAATATTAATATGTTCCTATTTAATCGTTGATTGGACTTTATACTTGAGTACATCAAGTGTCATGAGTTTATCGTCGATTATAGAATCCTGATATTCGAGTATTTGCTGTTTCACGCAATATACTCGAGTATATGGGTCATATACTTGAGTAAATGAGACCAAATTTCATACATAATTTTTCAATGTGTAGCTTTCGAAAAATTAGGTGGAATAAAAAAAAACACATGATTCAGACACCTGAGTCAAAGTTATGGCATTCCGAAGTTTTACTCTAAAATTTTTAAAATTTTGTAATTCCAATAAGTTTTGTGATACTCACAAAGCTTCTCCTCAGATTGATCGAATCGAGTCCAATATTATAAGTATATGACTATAGAAACTTGTTTGATTCAAAAAATCTAGCGAAAAAAAATTTAATTGTAAAAATTTGGAAGGCGATATTTTTTGACTCAGGCGTCCGAATCAAGTGTATTTTTTATTCCATATAATTTTTCGAGAGCTACGCGTTGGAAAAATTTCGGAGGATTATTTGTTAGTGTTTAAAAGTAAAAATTTAAATAACATCATTTCGCAAAGATAAAATATGTTAAACGGGGCACAAAGAAGCAATTTTTGGACCAAATATCCAAATAAAATTTTTTTGGCGCAAAAAAGCACCTAATTCGGACACTTGAATCAAAAGTTATTATCTTCCAAAGTTTTAATCTAAAATTTTCAAAAATTTGTAATGCCAATAGATTTTGTGATGCCCGCAAAACTTATTTCATCCAAAAAAATATGTTTTCGGAAGTTTTACGATTAAATTTTTTTCTAAGAGATTTTTTGGATCAAACAAGTTTTTATACTCATGTACTCATGATAATAGACTTGACTTGGGTAACCTGAGGAGGAGCTTTGTGGGTATCACAAAACCTATTGACATTACAAAATTTTAGAAATTTTAGAGTAAAACTTCGAAAGGCCATCACTTTTTATTTGGGTGTTTGAATCATGTGCTTTTTTTATTTCACATAACTTTTAGAGAGCTACTCGTTGAAAAATTCCTGTAGAAAATTTGGTCTTATTTACTCGAGTACATGACCCATATACCCGAGTATATTGCGTGAAACAACAAATACTCGAGGTCTTATACTCAAGTAAATGTTCAAAAAAAACCTAGATGGAGAAAAATACTCGAGTATTTGGGTACTCTACTCGAGTATTTGCTGTTCCACGCAATATACTCGAGTATATGGGTCATGTACTCGAATATATTGCACGATCAAACAAATGAGTTAAATATTTTGATATGGTGGAAAGTTATATTTTTTTATATAATTAAGAACACAATTATCAAAAAGTCATGTGGAGTCTTTTTGAATATGATTCTATTTTTATTTTTAAAAACTGTTTTAAATATGATATCTGAAATCTAATTTTGACAATAGAAGAAGGGAAAATTGTGTGTCATTTTAAAGGATGTAAAATTGTTTGTATATAGTTGAATTTAAAGAAGCTGTATCTATTTATAAGAAATCATTAATGAACTTTCATAATTATAAAATTATCACTATAAAATAATTTAAAATAAAAAGAAATTAAATTTATTTACAAAAATACTATTACTAAATTATCGTAATTAGAAAATTATTCTCGTAAAAACAATAAAAAAAATATTATTAAATTTTTTTAGCTTTAAAAAATAATAATTATTTTATAAATCATTTTAAAAAATAATCCTTTTAAAATAAGTTTTTTTTGTTCTAAAAACCAAAAAAAGAAAACTAAAAATAGACATCAAGCCCATAGTCTCAACATTTTGGGAAAAGATCTATTCATGTGTTGCAAATAAATTTTATATTGTTTAATTTAATATGACAAAAGCGTGTAAGAGAATATTAATTATTCATAGATAAATAATTGTTATTTTTTGTTACTTCTTATTCTAATATTTTTTTCTCATATTTTATCACTGTTAATTTATTCATAAATTATTAAGATTTCTTACATGATATGCTCATAATAAATAACACATCAAAGAATTAATTTATCCTACTATTAGAGCACGAGTCCATAAAGAAAGCAATTTTGATTAGAAGATATTCTTTTAAAATTCCAATTTTTTGTGGATTCATATCTATTTCTAATGATTCTGCTTAGATATTAAAACTACAAAATAAACTCTTGTTGGGTGATACTGCTCATTTTTGTCTCATTCTCCCTCTCTTTAGAGTAGAGCTTTGTTATAAATTAAACCTCTGGAAATTAGTTACAACAAATTGCAAGGGAATTTGAACTGTAAAAGGGAATGACTATTTGAAGGAAATAATTTTATCTTTTATATACTGTATGTGAGGTCATATGAAGAAAAGAAAAAAAATATAAATTTCATATTTTTTTTTAAAGATATTCTAATCGATTTATCACTTTGCGATTAGTCTGATTCAGGATGAATATTATTAAATCAATTTCAAAGATAATATTAAAAAGGATCAAACACATACTCTTACCTTCAGCTACTAAATTTCTTTATGCTAAATAAACTATTATCATTTGATGAATCATATATATATATATATATATATATATATATATATATATATATATATATAATTATCTTTTATATAGTAAGAAATATTAATCCTTTTTAATTAGTGAGGATTGACTTGAGAAACTGCGTCTTTTTTATTGTGTTCTGATTTTTTTGTTCTTAAACTAGTTTGTAAAATAGATATGAAAATAGTTGTTTTCTATATTTTTTAATTTTTAAAAGTTAAAAATCAAAACAGAAAACAAAAACAACTCAGACATATTCTCTAAATTTGATTCTAAAAAAAAAAAATTATAGTTTTCAAAATATTTTTTTAAGAAATAGACCTTACTAACCGAGTATTTTAAGTTTTTTGTTTCGAAAACTAAAAAATTATTTTTAAAAACAACAATCACACGAAGCCTATAGTTTTGATTTGAATGACTCTTCTTCCTCGTGATTCGTGAGTATCTTTTCTCCTGATTCCTGAGCATTCATTCCATAAAGATGAATTGCTTTGTTTCTTTTGCTTATTGTCTTATTTTCAGAACAACCCTCAAAGAGATTTTTATGGGCATCAATTAAATAATTTTTTACTTATAGTGAATCTTCTCATATATTATTTAAGAAAAAATAATTTTTTTGTTATAAAATAATTATTTTCTCTTATTAATGATCTTTTAATTTCCTATAAAAAATATGTTTATAACATGAAATTTTTTTCTCTCCTTATTACTGCATGAAAAAATTAAAACTTATTATTTAATATGATATATATTATTTAATAAAATCATGTTATATGAAAAGATTAAAATTATATAAGAATGAATCAATAATTATAAGAAAAAAGGTGACAAATGGGTCACTGTTGCTCCCTTTATATGGTTGTTTTGAGAAAAATCCAAAACTGTAACCAACCATAAATTCCTATAATGACGAACGCTTCTCATCCTTTAAATGTAAAGGCTAAAGAACATGTGGTGATGCGGAATTTCCATAATTTACTCAACCTCAATAATGGTGTGTTTTCATGTCAAATTAATGTCTCTATATTGGAATATTAAGGTATTTCCAACTGGCACTGTTCGACAATTACCGGATAACAAAAATTGCATTGTTTGGCCTCAACTTTTTCAGAGAGAAAAGATAAGATACAATTACTTTCGCAACTATAGTAACCTCACATCACATGCTGCAGCTACTAACCCTCAAATACAAACAAACAAACAAAAAAAGCAAAAACAATAATAGCCAACACCACCCCAAAATCACATGTAACTCTTACAATGCTTCCTTCTTAGTAACACATTTTCACATGACCCACATAAATGTAAAAACTCAAAAATATTTTCACTACCATTAATAAAATCCTTTAAAAAAAAGGGTATGAAGAAAAATACAAAAAATTAAAATTATCATCATTCGGTGGGAGTGGAAGAAGAGTTAGGTTCAATCTTCCTCAACTGAATCCCATTCTTATGCGACTCATCCTCATAATCATAAGCAAACCCACCATGTCGGGTCAGATCCATACCCGCAAGCTCATCCTCAGTGGAGATCCGAAGCAGCTTCAATTTATTCAAAACAAAAAACAAAGGACCCATGGTAGCACTAACCCAACCCGTGATAACCAAAATCTGAATCACATGCGCCGCCAACAACTTCCCCCCACCACCCATAAACAACCCATAAGGCCGACCCGGTTTACCCGGGTAAACCTGATTCACAAACTCCTCTTTAGCAAACAAACCCGTGAAAATCACACCCCACGCGCCGCACCCTCCGTGCAACTGCGCCGCCTCTAACGGATCGTCAAACTTAACCTTCTCCGCTAACTTGTTACACCCAATCAAAACAACCGCCGCAACAAACCCACACACGATGGCGGCCCATGGCTCAACAACTGAACACCCGGCGGTTATTGCGGCGAAACCGCCTAACAAACCGTTACAGACGTCAGTTACGTTCCAATGACCGGAAAGTACCCTTTTCCCAAAGAGGGTTGTTAGCGCTGCGGTGGAGCCAGCCAATGTGGTTGTGACAGCTGTCCTACCCACTGCACTCCATTGACCGTAGTAGTTACCAGAATCATAAGCGTTTAGAATCTTGGTGAACGAACCGGGGTTAAAACCGTACCAACCGAACCAAAGCATGAAGGTTCCAAGCACAACCAAAGAAGCGCTATGGCCACGAAGCGCGATGGCTTTACCGTTATGATCGAATCTTCCGATTCTAGGACCTTCGATTAGGGCTCCCCAAAGCCCGGCCACGCCGCCGACCATGTGAACGACGCCGGAGCCGGCGAAATCGATTACGCCGGAGCTGAAGAGGAGGTTTCCGGTGTTCGTCGCGCTGGCCCAACCGTCGCCGGACCAGAACCAGTGAGACACCACCGGATAGACGAATCCGGTGAGGAAGGATGAGTAGATGAGGTAAGCGACGAACTGTGTTCTCTCGGCGATGGATCCGCTGGTGATTCCGGCGGCGGCGATTGCGAACGCCCATTGGTAGAGGAAGTAGCTGTAGTCGACGGTTACCGACGGGACGTTTTTGAGGCCGAAGAAGTGTTTTCCGATGAAGCCGTTGGACGGTGTTCCGAAGGCGAAGGCGAATCCGAAGAGGTAGTAGAAGAGGCCGCCGGCGGCGGCGTCGAGGACGTTTGTGAGCATGATGTTCATGGTGTTCTTTGCGCGGACGGAACCGGCGCAGAGCATGGCGAAGCCGAGCTGCATGGAGAAGACGAGGTAGGCTGAGAAGAGGAGGTAGGTGTTGTCCACCGCGAACGCCGTGTCGGTGAATTTGTTGTTCACGGCGGCGAATTGGTCGCATATGAATTTTCCGGCGGCGACGGCGTTCGTTGCGTTCGGGCCCAAGTACTGAGCCAGTTGCTCCGGCGAACAAGTCGGTAACGACATTTTTGTTGAATAATAAAAAAAAAAAAAAAGAGAGAAAAAGCTTAGTTTGAAGATTTTGAGAAGAAGTGTACTTTGTGGACTACAACATAGACCGGCGTGCGTTTTTGTTGATATATATATAGAGAGAGAGTGGAAGAAGACTTTTCAAATTTTCACATTCTTAAGTTGTTTACATTTTTTATCTATATCTTTTAAAACAAGTTGACATGCTTAATTTATTATTTATAAATAAGTTATTCATTATTTATACATGAGTTATTAAGTGAGGAGCAACCTTGAGGGATGGGGTGATAGATCTTATTTCCTAATATCTTGGATATTAGTTTCATTCTAATTTGTTATTAGGTGATTTGTTAGTATATCATATGGGCTTTTTAACCCTTTTGAAGTAAAATCCAAAACATTTACCGATTTAATGTTTTTGACAAATTATTTATGGGTAAAGGATTTTTTCAGTCACCGATAAAGTTATCTCTAGTAAGCTCAAAACGACGTCGTTTTAAGACGGAAATCAAGGTGTTTTTGTAATTATAATAGATTGCAGGGTTATATTAGTCTTTGTCATTATAATTTTTTAATTTTATAACCTAAAACGACGTCGTTTTAAGCTCGCTGCAGATAACTTTATCTCCGATAACTGGAGAAATACTTTTCCCATTATTTATTAATATAATGTTAGTGAAACACATAAGGAAAGTATGCATTTAAGTCGTACATCATTTCATGTGTGACTTGTACAAAAGCTAAGATATGTCTGTCACATTTCGCACTCTCCAAAATATACATGCATGCTTGCGTAACTTGAATACCCACCAGTCTTGTATCACGTTGAATTTTGTGTTGAATTTTGTATAAGTTGAGTATGAAGGTGATGTGTGACTTAAATGCGCATATTCTCTGTATGTATTTCACTTATAATAGATTGATAAATAATTTATAAAAAAATTTAAATTAGTGGAATATTTATGTTTTTGGGTAAGAAGGTTAAAAAAGCAGATCATATAGAATCACAAATAAAATATAAGAAAAGTAACAAAATGCAAAGCTCACTATGTTGCTTGGGAACAAATGTGCTTACCTAAACAAAGTGGTGGTGGTCTCATCATCATCAACCTTAGAATCCAAAATGAAGTTTTTTTTGCATAAAATTGCTTAGCAAACCAGAATAGTATTTGGGCTCAAGTTCTCTTTGGCAAGTATGGTAGGAACAATGATCTTAACCACAGTTTTGTAGCCAAAAATAGTGATTCCTCATTTTGGAAAAACATTTGCAAGGCCCGGAGTAAAATGTCTTAATATTTAGAATGAGAGATTGGAAATGGCAACTCTACTTTTTTCTAGACAAACAGCTGGGGAGGTTGGCAAAATAGTTTATTCATTCTTGCTTATACAAAGCCTCCTCAATCTGACCTTGTTCTCAAAGTGAGTGAGATTGTGGAGACAATAACATGAGATTGGAATTTGACTTATCTCTCAGCATTTCTTGATAATGTAACCCTTTCTAGATTGGTAAATATTGTTCCCCTTGTTGATAGAGATGCCGCTGATTGTTTAAAGTGGAAGAGAGATAACCCATTAAGTCACTTATGAAAAAAGCTTACTGCAATCTCACTGAAAATAACATCAAAATTGATAAACTTTGGCCCTCCATCTAGCAGTGGAAAGGACCTTATAGGATTGCAGTTTTCCTTTGGATGGCTTGTTTAAATAAGCTCCCTATTAGAGATAAAACTTACCATTGGAGTAGGGGTGATCAATTTTGTCCTTCTTGCCACAACTTCCCCGAAACAATCATCCCTACTCTTCGCGACTATAGGTTTGCTACAAACATTTGGGAGAGATGGTTTGTTGGAACCATCCCTATTGATTTCTTCTCCTCAAAAGGAGAGGCTTGGTTCAAACTCAATCTCCATCTCTTTTTGGACTTCCTGGAAAGAGGTTTTTTTTATGTGACTTGTTGGTTTATTTGGAAGTGCAAAAACTTTACTATTCATAAGGAGAATTTTTCAATACCCCAGGACCCCAATCACCATATTCTAATGTATTTGGCTGATATGGAGAAGTGTAGTGGAGCACTTCCATTTATTGTTAAATCCAACCTGCCTAGTTCTTTTTTGTATTTCAGTATAGATTCCTCAACATTTTAGCTACAGACTGTTTGTTGATGGAGCTTTCAGCTCTACCAGCAACAAAGGGGCTTGTGGTGGATTCATTTATTCTTTATCTGGTGATTTGATGGGTGGCTTTGCCTTTAATATTGGCCCTTGTACAATTTTATAAGCGGAATCGTGGGGCTTACTAAAAGGTTTAAATCTTTCAAGTAATTTGAATTGCTCTGATCTTTGGATAGGTTGTGATTCAAAGGATGCTTTATTGTGTTTAGAGTCCCATTCTACTCACTGTGGTTACTCTTCTCTTGTAAATTGCATCAGAAGTGTTGCCGATTCTCTTGGATGCCTGCAACTGGATTTCATTCCCAGAGATCTCAATGATTGTGCAGACGGTTTAGCCAAGTTTGGACCTGCTCAGCAAATTGAGGGACTATTATTTTTTCTGTAACATCCCGGGCGCTGACGAGGGCGGGGAGTGATCGCCGGTGCGAAAGGGCATGGACAAGGAGCAGCTCCTTGCAGGCTTCCAGCGACAGGGGTACATGAATGAATCGAATCAACACCCGAAAGAGAGGGATTCCAGAGACTGTGCTAGTATGGGACGGTACAGTTGGGAATAACTTATAAGAATTAATTGGTACTACCTATACTAACAAGATGCATCTACTTTTCGGTAGCCCGTAACGGAAGAACTCAACAGTTAAGCGTGCTTGACTTGGGGCAATTATGGGATGGGTGACCTCCTGGGAAGTTTTCCCGGGAAGTGTGCGAGTGAGCACAAAACACGCTGAAAAGTCTCGTGTTAGTGTGTGGGGACAGTTGTTGATACTTGCAAGTTGTCAGGCGTTACAAGTGGTATTAGAGCAGGGCCTCTCTTCCAGTACGGTGTGGTTCGAGGACGAACCAGGCGGAAGCTGGTGGGCATGTAACATCCCGGGCGTTAACGAGGGCGGGGAGTGATCGCCGGTGCGAAAGGGCAAGGACAAGGAGCGGCTCCTGGCAGGCTTCATGTGATGAGGGTACATGAATGAATCGAATCAACACCCGAAAGAGAGGGACTCCAGAGACTGCGCTGGTATGGGACAGTACAGTTGGGAATAACTTATAAGAATTAATTGGTACCACCTATACTAACAAGATGCATCTACTTTTCGGTAGCCCGTAACGGAAGAACTCCATAGTTAAGCGTGCTTGACTTGGGGCAATTCTGGGATGGGTGACCTCTTGGGAAGTTTTTTCGAGAAGTGTGCGAGTGAGGACAAAGCACGCTGAAAAGTCTCATGTTAGTGTGTGAGGACAGTCGTTGATACTTGCAAGTTGCCAGGTGTTACATTTTCCCTCTCCCCTACTAGTATTTCTTCTTTTTGGAATGTAACTAGATTTAAGATGATGATGGAGTATGTTGTTTTTGACATGCAACATCTATCTTTGTAGATTTTCTTTGGGCTCTGCCCTCCTCTTTTATAATATATATATATATATATATACACACACATATATATATATATGAGGAGAGATATTCTTACTACCAAAATTTTTTACTATCAACTCACTACCTATCTAATTACCATTGGATCAACATTTTTTCTTTTTTCAATTTTTTTTAAAATTCTCTCTCTTTGATTCAATGGTGATTAGATAAGTAGTAAGTTAGTAGTAGAAAATTTTGATAGTAAGAATATCCTCTATATATATATATATATATATATATATATATATGTATATATCTAGGGATAGGTTATTGTGCCTACTCTTATTTTGCCTATCTTTGCCTACCCCTTTCGATACCGTTCGATTACTATCTAATCCAACGGTCTATATTTGCGATATAAAATAAACATTTTTTCCCATATTTTTTTTCCTCACTTTCTCCTATACCTTTCTCTCTCCTCCTCTTTCTCTCTTCCTCTACCGTATACCTTTTTTTTTCCCTTTATCGTTAATCTTTGCCCATGTGAACGAAGCATTTGAAATCAATTACCATATATCCATGCTTTTAGGTTATGTACTAAATTTTTTTTGAACAATATAATTAGTCCTTATGGTTTTCTTTAATATGCATCTTTGTAGTTGCTACCTAGGTCTCATAAATCATAACTCAATTTTCTTTATCAACCAAAACAGGAAATTTATAAAGATCCGATGACAATGACTCGATGTTGTCAATTAATCCATTAAGCTGATCCCACTAATGAGATAAGACTCGGCTGTTGTTGTTGTTGTTGAGTAAGATGAATGCTATTGTGTGATTATAGGTAAGCATGAGTATTCTTGTATAGACCATAAAAACTTTTGCATCGTACTTTTGAAATTGGTTATTTTTGCTTGCTTTCCATATTTCTTGTTAACCTGGGCTGAGATTAACGATAAAGGGAAAAATCAAATAGGTATACGGCAGAGGAAGAGAGAAAGGGTATGAGAGAAAGGGAGGAGAAAAGAAAGGGAAAAAAATATTTATTTTATATTGCAAATATGAACCATTGGATTAGATGGTAATCGAACGGTAACGAAATGGGTAGGCAAAATGGGAGTAGGCATAATAACCTATCCCATATATATATATATATATATATATATATATATATATATATATATGAGAAAATATTTTCTCCTTTTAAAGGAGAACATTTTTCTCATACTAGTGACTCATAGCATAAGTGGGTCCAATCTTGAATTTTTTTTTTCTCCACTATTTTTTAGGCCCCACTTATACTATGAGTTTTTAGTATGAGAAAAAAAATTTCCTTTAAAAGGAAAAAATGTTTTCCCTATATATATATATATATATATATATATATATATATATGAGAAAACATTTTCTAATGTCATAGGATAGTTGTTTTCTCCTACTAGTGACCCTTCGATTTTCGTGCAATATTTTCTTTTGCTTTTTTATTTGGTTAACAGATGTGGGCCTCACATAAGATGTGTCTACAACATGAGAAAATTTTCTCCTACCGCATAAGAAAATCGAAAATATATATATATATATATATATATATATATATATA